AGTCAAAATTCTGAGGATAGCAATTGGAGGAATGTTTCTACCTGGCGGCTTATGTTGAATAATTTTTTACATCCCTTGTTATTGTAACAATTCTTTCTGAAATGTGAAACAAAAAAAAAAGAAAAAAGAAAAGAGGTTCCTTATGGACCTCTGCTTCTATTGCAATATGTTTCCAGTTTGAACCTACATGTAAAAGATATATCTAGACTTTGAGTCTACAAAATCTCTCCATAAAACAAATACAACAGGTAGATCCCTTCTTCATAGATGAGAACTGAATGTTACCTAAAAGGAAATAAAAGGCTACAATTCCCGAAGAACAAATCCTAACAAAAGAACTGAAATCGAAATATGATGATTGATGAGTACTCAACCTTTTGAAGCCACTGCTGAGCCAAAATCTAAATGAGCTTGTAATAGCAATTCTGCCCAGACAAAAGCATTTGATAGCCTTTGCCGCAAGGGCGCTTGACATGAAGGTCCAAACATTCCCCAATTTCCTCCACTCTCACAGCTTCTTCACAATCCAGCTCACCATCATCCTACAACAACAAACTTGACATGTTAATGCCACTCGCAAAATGCAAGCTAAATTCATATACAGCCAGCCATCTCAATTTGTCGAAACTTTTCAGAAATCAGAAGTTTGTCAATTTCTTCACTAATTTCCCCAAATGTACCACCATTGATACAAAAAACCAAGAATCAAACCTTTTTTTTCCTCAACAACTAGAAAGTGTGACTCTGAGAAAGAAAAGCAAACCTTTATTGGTTCAGTGGTGCACACATCTCCATCTTCTCGCATTGCCTCATCGCACCATTGACTCATCTATTTTATCCGCTAGCTCCTTCATTATCCCCAACCTCTACCATTAACATACATAACAAAACAATAATGTTGTTGAAGCTATCAAGGCGGAGGAGGGAGAGGTTGATGGATTCTTGGAGTTGTCGGTCATCTTCTTCTTGGTTTGGAACTTCAAAATCTGGTTCTTGTTTGATTTCACTCACTGGTTATGCCTTTTGGGATTTATCAAGCTTTCAATCTTATTAGAGAGATTGTGTTTCCTGGTTGAAATGCTGGGGAGGAGCGAAAAGGCAGAGAAACTGTAAAGAAAGATTTTGTATGGTAGAGCTTTTGATTGGTGTGACGGTAAATGACAAGCCAATCAGAAAGAAGAAAAACCAATTATGTGATGCCTGAAGAAGGGGTCGGTCCAAACTAAAACCAAATTGCATTGTATTTACCTAGAAAACAGGGAGGTTTATATAAGCCAAAGTACATAAGCAACCTCATTATTTTTATTTCAACACAATAATTATAAATTCAATGAAAGAAACAAGTCCAACATTAATCCAGAACAAGCTAGCAAATTTTGATCCCAGTTGGTTTGATTTTTGTTGTATTTCCTAGCAAATTAAGCCTCGAAAAAAAAGGACAAGTTTCTGCGTTGGCCAACTTAGCAAAGTCATTAAAGCATATTTGCTGTCTTATTTTATATTTTCACATATACAGTTAAACAATTATTCCATGCCTTAATTGGAGGAAAAGCAAATGTTTTTGTTCTTTCTTCAATAATTTGGGGCCAACAATGCTAGAGATGGACTCAAAAATTGTACTGTAGTTGAATTTTTAAAGCAGGCTATTTTCTAGTGTTACAGGACATTCCAAGATTAATATAATGGTACAGGACTCAAAAATCTTTTTATCTCATTGCTAACATATATCTCCGGTATTTTTTTTGATTAATATAGTGCATTTCTAACTTATCCAAAAAAAGATAAAAATGAATTTTCTAGAGTATTCTGTAACTATTCGATGTTGATATGCATCATAAGGTGACACTTGTTATTCATGAGATAGCGACACTTACAAGATTTTTAAAGGTAGTCATTCATAAGATCATGACATTTATTTGAATCACATGACTTCTAAATACTATAAAAAGCATTTTTATTGGCAATTTCTCTAAAAACTTTTTGGATTAATACCTTTTCCTTTGTCAACCACCTTAGTCTTTCTGATCAAAAAGAAGAAAAGAGCACAGTTTTTCTATCAATGAATTAAAATGTATGACAATTTTAATGTAGTGTGTTTGTTACTCAATATCATTAAATTTTCAAATGCATTAACTAATTTAGGAAATAATATAATCAAAAATATTTGATATTTTTACTCAATAAAAAAAACACTCTCCCTCTATAGACAACCATCCAACCATCAAAGGCAAAATCAAATATGAGATCTAATAAAAATAACAAAAGTTGGATAAAACAGAACATTTATCCATAAAAAAGGAAAAATATATAAATATAATCTACAAAATAAAGTAGCTTTTACAACAATGGTATTTTTTCTTATAGAAAGATAGAAGATGAAAATAAAAAAAAAGAGTTCACTTGACTCGGTATGTGATACTATATACTTAATAAATTTTATGAAATAAATGAACCCACTAATCTCATTTTTAATCCACAACCGAGTCCAACTCACAATTGGTCAACTCATCTTCAATCCACAACCGAGCAAAGCTACCCTCTAAATCAAAATAGACAGAGCAAGGAATCGAATCAGAATCTGAAAACCATTTTCATCATTAGTAACACTCTAAAGGGCTCCACAGCATTTTTGATTCGAATTTTTGTAACCTGTAAGAAATGGATATAATTGATGAGCTCACTCTTTTTAAAACTACAAGAAATGTTAACATATTGTTAAGAACTTTGATCTCAATTTAATAGAAGTTTTTGAAACCAACTTTTAAATATATTTGAGCACGAATAAATAGGTTTGTAAGAAAGAAGAAGAAGTTACATGGACGTGACCAATTTAAAAACAACTTTACCAATTGCTTTTTAATTCTTGTTTAATGCTTTAGTTAAATACAATACTTTAGCTTGATTTTGTTATGTTTGTAGTTTTTCCCTTAAGTGTTGTTCGTTTTGATTAAGTTGCATTTAAGTGGCTAAATAACTCACATGAGTTTTCCTTGTTAGTTATCGAGCACAAAGGCTATGTATTAATTTCAATGATTTTTGTTGCCCACCTGTTATCTTTCTTTTCAATTATTAATGCCAAATTACAAGTGAATGTTTGTAAAATATTGTAAGTGGCATTTAATTCTAAAATGAAATGGAATCAATAACTGAGCATTTTCTTTTTCTGTTTTTGATTCTTCAGCTTTCATGGTTTTCTTTTATAAAGTCTCTATTCATCATCTTTGTTGAGTTTTATGTTAATTAAAATTTTAGATCTTATTTGATTAGGATTCTTATTTGTGTACAATATTGAATAATTGTATAATTTTTAAACCTCTTATTCCACATCGAGTTCTAATCACATTCTACTTTAGATTTTTATATTATAAAAGTGAATATCTAGGCTTTAGAATTGTAAGTAGTGCTTTGAGAGCTCTAGAGAGGGAACACCTAGTAATTCTGTCTTTTACTCTAGGTGGAGCTAGAGTGGTTGAGTGAGTGTTGTTGGGAGGTTATTGAGAGAGGGTACGCAAGGGATTTTGGGTTGGTTTAGGAAACCATAGGGGTTAATTTATTATACTTTAATTTCTCAATAATAGAATAACAGTTTTACTTCGTTGACGTAGGTAAGAGGTTGAACCACGTAAATTCTTATATTTTTATGTTAGCTTGATTTCTCTAGGTTTTATCTTTGTTTTTCTTGGGAAATTTTCGTAACAAATTGGTATCAAATCTTCAGGTTTAGTAAATTCAAGATTCAACAAAGATGTCGAAAGTTACTAATTTTATAAAATTTTCAATTGAGAAGTTTGATGGGAAGACTAGTTTCACACAATGGCAGAAAAGGATGAAAGATCTCTTTGTGTAGCAAGGTTTGATGCACCCCTTGCTAGGAAGGGAGGAAAGGCAACCAGATGACATCAAAGATGTTAAATGGTAGAGTTGGAGCAAAGGTGTGTGAGTACTATTTGGCTTTGCATTAGAGATAACGTGTTTAACCATGTTATTGATGAGGATTTTACTTTAAAATTATGGGCAAAGTTAAACAAGATTTACTTGGCAAAATTATGGACAAGTTGTAGCTTAGATGAAAGTTGTATCGCTTAAGGATGGAGGAGAATGTAGACCTCATTAAGCATATGAACGGATTCGATGGGATCATTGATCAGTTGAAGAAAGTTGATGTGAAGGTAGAGGAAAAGGAAAAGGCACTATTGTTCTTGGCCTTGCTCCTAGACTCCTTTGAGATATATGTGGAATCTCTGATATGTGGAATGGATACAATAACGTTAAAACAAACACAAACAGTGTTAATATCTCGTGAAGCCTCAAAGAAAAGTAAGGAAAGGGATAGAGATTCAATGGGCTTGGCATTGGTAACTAAGGTTCGTAGAAGGAAGTCAATTGGCATGGGATCTAAGGGTGGCAAGTCTAGATCCAACAATGTTTAATACTTTCAATGCAAAAAGGGGTTAT